TTGTAAAAAGTCCCTCCCCAGCTTTCTTGTAGGCCCCTTTTAGGTACTGGAAAGCCACAATAAAGTCTCCCCAGAGTCTTCCTTTCTCCAGGCTGAACAACCCCAACTCTCTCAGCCCATCCTCATAGGAGAGGTGCTCCAGCCCTCTGATCGTCGTCGTGGCCTCCTCTGGACTCGCTCCAACAGGTCCATGTCCTTCTGGTGTCGGGGTCCCCAGAGCTGAAGGCAGTACTGCAGGAGAGGTCTCACCAGAGCAGAGTAGAGGGGCAGAATCCCCTCCCTCAACCTGCTGGTCACGCTGCTTTGGATGCAGCCCAGGATATGGTTGGCTTTCTAGGCTGCCAGCGCACATTACTAGGTCACATTCAGTTTTTCATCCACCAATACCCGCAAGTCCTTCTTCTCAGGACTGCTCTCAATCCACTCTTTGTCCAGCCTGTATTTGTGCTTGGCATTGCCCTGACCCGTGTGCAGGACCTTGCACTTGGCCTTGTTGAACCTCATGAGGTTCACACGGGCCCGTCTCTCAAGCCTGTCCAGGTCTCTCTGGGTGGCATCCCTTCCCTCCAGCATGTTGACCGCACCACACAGCTTGGTGTCATTGGCAAACTTGCCAAGGTTGCACTCAATCCAACTGTCCATGTCGCTGACAAAGCTGTTAAAGAGCGCCGGTCCCAATACCGACCCCTGAGGAAGGGCATCTGTGTAGCATCAGCTTGCTGAAACATTTAAATTGTGTGAAAATAGTAGCATACGCTTCAGTAGCACCTAGGGAGCTAATGGCTTGGTGTGGTTACAGCGCCCAAGAGCAGCTCTGAGCTCCTGGTTGACAAAACCTGGTCCCTGCCCCATCACAGCAGAGCTGATCAAACCCTTCGCATCTGCTCCTTCACAAGCCTCGTGCTGCTGGCGTTGTTCAATATCTCTTTTGGCATTAATTCCTGGAGAAAGATGGTTAAACTGAGGGCACTAATGGGATCTGGGAAAACCCAGAGAAGGTTGCAAACAACAGCAGAGGCAGGGGCCTGGCCTGCAAGAGGATAGCTTGGACTTCAACCCACAGTCTGAAAGAGGAGGGCAGCTGCAAAAACTGTGTTGAAGAACGACATTACAGCAGCGTAATACAGGTCCAGCTGAAGGAAGGAAATACTTGCGCGAGAAGATGGTTTTGGCATTATCTTCTCATCAAAACTCAGTGGAATGAAATCAGAAATAATGAGGCCTGCACACCCAATTTGCCATCTTTTCAGGCAAGTTAGACAGGGTCATTATAGAAGGCATGCATAGTTATGCAGCATTTACATAGAAGTGCTAAGTGGAGGACACGACACAAAAAGTGTCCCCTCTTCTCTACACATAGGAAAATACATACCAGTACAGTAACTTTGCCACCTGCAGCCTGAAAGAAGCTGAAACTACTGAAGGAGTGAAAAAATTTGGAGACAATTTCTTGGCAATTTGTATTGGTACATCTCAGAGTGCCTGGCTTTATTCTAGGCTCCCAGAAGGAAATACCTAAT